AACCCACATCTTTATTTATTGATAAGTTAGAGAGCAATTATATAGGGTGATCCACCTATTTACTGTGGCATCTTCTTATTTTTGCATTTATAGCGCTGCCAATGTCACACTTAGGGGTTGATTTACTGAAAAACAAATAGACTGTGCACTTTCCAAAGTAGTGATGTATTAATACCCTCACAGCCATCCAGCCAATTCAATACTAGTTATTTGTTAGCCACCTGGCTATTGTACCCTTGGCATTTCTTCATAGACATCCACAGAAATGCTGGTTTATGTTCATATAAATATGGTTTCTTGGACTGAGAACCCACTAAAAAAATGTCCCTGCACTTCCTCATTGGTGATTTATTTATATTATTCTACTATGGAACATTAGCCTTATAATCCTGACATGCTGACTAACCATCCCAAGACCTGTAGTAAATATCTAACTTGCAGACCTGCCTTCATGCATTTATGCAAAGCTGTAAGCCTGACAACTCCGTTTGTGAAATATGAACCCACTGTTGTATTTTTTAGGTACTGCATACACCTAGCTTCCACATTTCAGTGTTTATAAAGTTATATAATTCTCAGTGCATACCAGTTGTCTGCCAAGTGTCTTACTGAACAACCAGTTACTTTCTCGAAAATGTCGCTTACCTTGCGAAAGGAAAAACTGTTACCTCAAGCCCTGAGATCTACTTGAATAACAATCTGTAGTAAATGTTCTCTTAGACATCTATTGATGTCCCCAGTACGTAATGAACACTGTCACATCACTTAAATACTGTACTGAGAGGTTTGATGAAAACCTAATACTACTGCCCTAATGTTTTATGGAATGCACAACTGTACCACATTGTTCTAAGTATTATTGAATCTATATTGCTTAAAATGTATATTGGTAACATAGGTTTGTTTCTTGGGCTTTACTATTAATGGCTAACAAGTACATATCATACATAATGTTAATGTGGACGAACGCCATCATTTCCCCTACATTTAAATCTATGCACATTGATCAGGTCATAATGGATTCACCATATACTCTCAGCAGGCCCCCAAGTGGTAGATCTCAAGCTAATATTGTTTTCCCTGGTGAGTTGTTGCTGTCTCTTGCTTCTGTCAAGAGGCATGTGGCCTATAGGCTGCCCAGATTAACCTTGTAATATAAATTTTCCTCACTACTTTGCTTACAAATCTTGCTCATCCTAACCTATATCTGAGATCACTAGCAGATACTACACACCAGGGGCGGACTGACCATTTGGAAACTCGGGCACTGCCCGAGGGCCCGGGGTCAGTAGGGGTCCCCATGAGATGCCCCTGGTACCTTTTTCATAGGCTTTTTTGAGTTTGGGCAAGGACACAGGGGTCCCCATGATCCATTATTGCCGGGGGCCCCATGAGGTGTCAGTCCGCCCCTGCTACACACCCACCTCTAGGTCAGGTTGACATTTCATTAAAATGGCACAGATATTGGCTGGATCTCTATAAACCTCAACTAATTCTTTAAACTAACCTCTGACTGGTGGCCTCACACCTAACATTGTCCATCACTGTTGACCCTCAACCATAAACCAGCACTTATAGTCTCTAAAATAACATCAGTGAATAAACACTTAATTGAACCTATGCACAACAGCTTTATGAAGCTACTATACCCAACACCATGGTCACTTATTTTTTACCCCACTGAATATCCTAAATCTTTCTTTTCTCATATTATATGGTTAGAGCCTTTGACTATACTCTACAGGTTTGCCCCTACTCCAGAACTCTGTCCGAGCTAGGGCACATGCTGTATTCTGCTATTAATAGTTGTCTGATAATGTGAGTGTCAATATGAACAAGTTCTTTCTGTTCCAGGAACGTTAAGCGATAAATATAAAGTCTTATCACTCATTTGGGTGTATATAATTTTACTTATGCTTTACAACTCTTCTCAAACCATAGAATACAGAATATTACCGACCCTAAATTCTCAAACACTTCACAGCAATGGGTGATTCTCTCTACCACCAATATTACAAGATACTTAGTGCTCTTGTTTGTCACTTCTACATAAGCTTCCACAGTCAGCCTCTAACCCCCTGAGCTACATTGTAGGTGCCTACTCACTTAACCACATGCAAAGTAGTACCCTCAAGCAGTTTATCTACTAGTACCACATGATAGTAAAAGCTATCCTCCCTGGTCTAGCAATCTTAGCTCCACTCTAGTGTAATGCCACACATACCACTTTGTCTTTTCTAATGTTTTCCTCTCACTATACACACATTATGGTTTTTGTCTTACACTCCTTCTTTTTCTTAACACCCCTCTTCTTCCCACCTGCCCCCTACCTCCATGATCCTTTGCCTTTGCCTACCTCTGTACTGGAAGTGAATATCTTAATTTCCTTTCTTAAACTTAAATCAACCATGGTTCTCAATCCCCTTACCCTAAATGTACATGGCCTTGATTTCCCTGCCAAGCAAGTCAAAGTCTTCAACTAGATTCAGTCTCAACATTTTGATATACTGTACCAAGTCTACAGGTGACCCACTTACAAAAGGATTAATTTCCTTTCTATTTTAATTCACATTTTTCTTAGGTCTACCTAGCCATTGTTCCCACTAAACAGAGAGACATGCTAATTGTATTTTAGAAAACACTACTAAACAAATATCAGATCCTAACAACAGTTATCAACTCTCATAAGGCCAATTACATGACTCTGAAATGACCTTACTTACTATGCTCCCAACAAAAAAAAAAACAGATTCATTTTTTTCTCCCTTGTCCTCACTCTCTTAGACCATTATGGAACAACCTTTCTCAGCGGGGATTCTAACTTCATTTTAAACCCCAAAATAAATAAGTCACCACTAGAAACTGTGTCCTCCTCACACAAGGTCAAAATCTTAAAATAGCTACTTTCTCAACATAATCTCATAGATCCATGGAAACATTTCCAACAGCTTTCCAGAGATTATACCTATTATTCCAACCCATACAAACTTCTATACAAAATTGACCATTTCTTTGTACACCAACACTTCTTTTCAAATATCTCTATGGCATACAATCTGCTCACAGTGCCCTGGTCAGACCACAATTCCACAGTAATCTCCTGTGCATACTTAAAGAAGAGCTAAAGGCATTTCATTTTGAATAGAGTAAGGAAGGGTTTTTTGCCATCTATATCCCATTGTGAAGATTTCCCTTCACTTCCTGTCCCAAAGCCAGAATAAGAAATGAAAAGTGCCCTCATTGTAAGATTTCCCCTCTATTCCCATTCTGGTGACAAACTAATATTTGGCATTTGCTTTTACTTTCACTTTCAGCTATAACAGTAATCAGGACAAATAGAGAAGGTAAATCTTTCTAATTTGGACACAGACAGCAATGTAAACTTGACAGGGGTTTCAATCACTCTCCACTTTATCTAAAGCTGAAAAAGGTTTACCTTTAGGTATACTTTTGTTATTAACACCAAATCATCACACAATTCTGTCCCCTAGCACGATGACATGAGCAGACCTGTCCTACACGTACGAGTTTAGACAAAGTAACTTCCTCAGGGGCTTGAACCCTTGAGGAAGTCACTCTGACAAAACTCTGTCAAAAATTGTGTAGGGCAGATCTGTTGACTCTGGATGTTTGTATAGACTATTGTTTGGACACCTATTTATTGATTTGCACTGTTTATACTGTATGGGTGTTTCTTTATGTGAAGAGATTTGATGTGTTATTTACATTTAAAAAGGAAGTTTACAATTTATTTGACATTATTATATGTTTATTTTGGTTTATTCATTTTATATTGTTTGATCATTTGGGCACAGCACTAACTGGTGGATGTAAAGTGTTTCTAAACCCAGGACCCTGCATCCACTATATCTGGTCTCTCACAATACACAGAACATGGAAGTGAATTATTTTAGTAAATATAAAACTGCTAAATACCTTTTCTAATCAGCAGTTAGAACAGTCTTGTGACTTCAGCAGAGCACTGGTTAAAGCTTGCAGGAGTAGTTTTCTTCTGCTCTAGAAGGATGCAAAACTCCTCACCCTCTGTCTGGACAGTGCTGATTGGCCCTGTGCTGATCACATGCAGTCTCCCAAGAAAAAAAAAACCCATCTCTAGCAATACATACTAAACTGAGCATGTGCCTGTGGCTACAGGTTCAGTTTATCTTATCAGGAGATAAGACGTGGACATTTGAGAGGAGTTGCAAAGAAAACAGGATCAAACTGCCATTTTACACAATGCAGAGGATTAACTCTGGAGGAGAAAAAGAATGATAAGCAACCTCACATCAAAATGGTGCAGAAACAACATAAAGATCCTAAAATGTGGTATAGTTACAGTCCCATTTCTCTCCCAAATATAGATTCAATATTTACAAAGATCATTGTGCAATCATTAAACACTTAACTGATACACGTGTTACATTGTGTACAAAATGGATTTATCCCTCCTAGGCAATGGAATATTATTCACAAAACACTTTATCTCACCCACCTTGCCCAGAAACACTCATAATAAATGATTCTGCTGTCAATTTATATGGAAAAAAAGCCTTTGACACTGTCTTGCAACCATACAGTATATGTTTTACACACTGTAGGGGTTCAAGAAAAAATTCTTTAGCTGGTTATTTGCTATCTACGCAACTCCAAGAACCATAGTAAAATACTGGGGATTCCAATTTAACCAATTTCAAATCAACAGGGACACAAAGCAGGGATGTCCATTATCCCGACTTCTTTTCATCCTAGTACTCGAGCCTTTGGTTTGAATAATATGACAGCACAAGGATATTGAGGCCCTATTATTGGGCCTAGTCAACAAAATCACTCTGCTCTTTGTCGACATTCTCTTTAGCCGCTTCCCCACCACCCTATAGCACAAATACTGCTACAGGGTGGCAGGGCTGTGCAAAAGCAACGTGATGTTGCATTTCAGGTTAGGGGGTGCACGCGCACCCAGCCCTACTCACACTGCCATTGGCGGCTACGGCTGTCAATCATCGGGTCCCGGTCGGAGATTCCCCTCTGGCACCCGGCGATCACAGAAGAACACTGACAGGGGAGAGATCTGTATGTAAACAATACAGATCTCTCCCCTGTCAGCTCCAGCATGCTGCTTTGTTTTGCTCTGTACAGCAGAACATTACAAAGTAGCATGTTTACAGAGTACAACACACACAGCACACACTTAACCCTTTGATCGCCCCAGATGTTAACCCCTTCCTGCCCAGTATCATTAGTACAGTGTCAATGCTTTTTATTAGCACTGATCACTGTATTAATGTCACTGGGGATGTCAGTGACAGGTAGTCAGTTCCCACCCAGTGTCAGAATGCCCGCTGCAGTCCCACAGTCCCACTATAAGTCGATGATCGCCGCCATTTCTAGTATAAAAAAAAATGAAAAATTCCAGTATCTATATCGCTATTTGTATACACTATAACTTTCACATAAACCAATGAATTTACACGGATTGGGATTATTTTTTAGCAAAGGCATGTAGCTGAATACATTTTGGCCTAAATTTATGGCGAAATTTGATTTTAAATTTTTTTTACTGGATATCTTTTATAGCAAAAAGTAAAAAATATTGTCTGTCTTTCTTTGTTTATATCGCAAAAAATAAAAAAACACAGAGGCGATCAAATACCACCGAAAGAAAGCGCTATTTGTGGGGAAAAGAAGGACATAAATTTAATTTGGGTGCAGGATTTCATGACCACGCAATTGTCAGTTAAAGTAACGCAGCGCGCAGTATTGCAAAAAATGGCCTGGTCAGGAAGAGGGATAAATCCTCTGGAGGGCAAGTGGTTAACATGAATTCACCCCACATCTCACTTTCCAGCTTATCATTAATATAAAATATAAAAGCAAACCCATCTGTTAGTAACCATCCAGTTAGTTCATCCATGTTTAACTTTTGGTTGGACTAACCACCTTCTCTATTGAATCTGTCACCTTACACCTACATACAATACTTTATATAGGACCACATTTCCCCACTCATTGGCAAACTTACAGTGTTGTTACAGACTTGGGATCATTACTGTATATCTAAAGCAGATTAAACACCAAAAAATTGATGTACCTTCCCTAACTACTTTACTTTTTCAGAGTGCTATCTGTATTGGCTCATAACATTATTCTATGCTCTCTCTGAAAGCAAACTAAGGCATTTAATATGGAGCCCTAGAAGAGTTATAGAACCACACAGTATAGTCATAAACGCAAAGGGGATCTAGAAATTCCTTTATGAACAATTATTACAAAGCAACAACACATAGCCCCTTGCACTGTTACACCCTGGAACAGAAACTCCCGTGTGGGTCCTAATGGACACTATAGATTGCGATCCAGTAGCAATATGCTCACTATTTGTTTACTTCTCTAATCTATAATTGAAAGAATCACGTCCAGCCCCAAAGTAATTCTTAGCAATATGGGATGTGAGTAAATATTCTGGGAAACTTATCCCTGCTAGGCATAAGTAGGTATCTTCTCTTGCCACGGGAATGGAACCCTCAGAAATGTCAGATGGTGGGTACATAAAGGCCTCTTACATGTTTGCTCTTTTCTACTGCATCAAGACCTTCCAAATCATGTTGCATCCAAAACAATTACATTTTAACACAGACAACTTCACCACTTCATATCTTTCTTACAGTATCTAAACAACATTCTATACCACTCGTTTTCATGAATTTTGAAAATAGATGCCACACAGATCCACATGCCTGAGGTCTGGTTTCAGCTGTACAGTGACTTCCCTGCTCTTCCAATTCTCTTTCCTAAACTAACTATATAAAAAAGATGGGAGGAAGTATTAATAAAAACAATTGAAAAAGAAGATAGGAAAAGAATCAAAGCCTAAAGGTCCACTAATATATTACCTGTAGAAAAACACATCATGTTTTCTTTAGATGATATCTTACTCCATCTCATATAGTAAGAAGGTACAATGCTATATATCTAGTGGTCCTGCCATAAAGCACAAGAGATAGTCACTACGGGTCTACAATCTAATTAATTCAGTACTCAGGTATAATATAAGAAAGAACCCTGTTGAGGTACTGCTAAATAGGTCCATACCTGACATTCCTAAAGCAATGAATAAGCTAGCAAGCTTTATATTTAGCGCAACCAAGTAAAAAATAGCCCACTGATGTAAATTCCTGACATTAAACTTCTCAGAACTAAAAAATAGATTAAATGTCATCATGACAAATGAAAAAAATTACTTAAATCATACAGGATACAAAGAGATTCTTTAAATCTGGTCCCCGTGAACAGAGTCCACCAAACTTTGTGAAACACTCTTGAGAGTCTCATCACACCCCCACAGCCCAGGGGATGGAAACCCCATACTTCCCTAACCCTTTTGCAGTCCATCCCAATATTGCTTTTTCTTCCTTCCCTTTTTCCGGAGAGGTATATATTTTTTTTGCTAGGACCTTCTTTTATTTTTGAGCTGCCACGTACATTTGTTGATGACACTGCATTTTGTTGTTTGCAGCATGTCACCGCATGCTTGTGTGGTAAAGTAGTGTGCACCAAAGTTCAGCATCTTTATCTCCCCTATTGCCATAGCTGTTGTTAACTTCTGGCAATTCCACCTCCTTTTCCTCCACTCCCCAAGGGTGCAATAGCAGATACTTGCCTTCAAGTGCTGGTAATGCACCTATTTCCTCCTCTTCTCAAGGGTACATTAGCAGCAATTTCCCTCAGAGTACTACTAACGTGCTTTTTTTCTCCTCCTGTACTCCTCATAGGAGCAGAACAGTTACTGCAAGGGTTTCTAATGTGCCCTTTTCTTCATCCTTCTTCTTTACTCTTCAGTGGTGCATTAGCAGCCATTTGACTGCAATTGCTGCAAATGTACCCTTTTCCTCCTGCTCTGCTCCTCCCCGGTGCAAAGCAGCTACTTCCTTCCCCCCATTCTTCTTCTTCTGTCAATCCTCCCATTCTGTTAAAGCCCAAAAAGGTAGCTATGAAGAGTCAATGGAATTAGAGGCCACTGCTATTACCAGGGCCAGTCCACATAGCTTTATAGTGTGCATTAGCCTATTCATATGTCTCTTCTGCTGGAGTGTGGAGTGGAAGAAAATAATATCTAGAAACCTGCACTCCCCCCTCCCCATCATCTTAATCCCAGGTGGAAAAACTGCTGGCTTTTCAGCTGCTCCCATTCCAGTTTGTGGAATCACCTCTTTGCATGAGTGAATGGCCTGTGCTACACCACACTAACAGGGGCCCAGCTGCGTGTGGATAGGATCAAGCTGTAAAGAGGCTGTAGAATATCTCTAGCATTAAGATGGAAAATAGGATGGAAAAAAGACAAAAACCCTTCAATCCCCCACCACCAAATTCCCCAAGGTACACAGCATGTTGCAACTTACAGGACAGTCAGTAGGGCTTTACATCTACTTTAACAGACCAGCCAGTGCCGCTAAGCCCTACACTTATCTCTTCCTTTACACTTTATCATTATCAGTAACACTTCCTATACTTTCCCTAAAGCACATTGTCTATATGGTGTATACCCTTTTTATAATAAGGAGGCTGGTTTAACCAAGTTGACCTATTAGCTCTTCTAAGTTCAAAGACCAGGATATGCACTATGGTTACCATGGTGAATCCCTGCCTTAGTTAAGTGGGTCTGTTTGGAAGAAAAGTTGAATGTAGACAGAGAAGGACAGAGAAATATTGGGATCATTAGAAAAAAAAAATCACAGCTTTAGCATTGGCATAAGCATGTCGTGGCTTAGTTAGCTTACTGCTGAACACTGGAGTGCTCATTTCATAGCAAACCGCATTATTAGTAAATTCTGCATATATACACTGTAGTCTGTGCTTGTGCACAAAAAGTAGGCGCATAGTAAATCTTTGCATGATCAATATGTGTAGGGATAAAGGTGATCCGTACTACAGTATATCCTACATCATAACAATATATTATAATGAAATAACAGTAATAAGAGTGTTCAATTAAGTTAATATATATATGAGTGTCTTAGAGTGAGGTCCATTGCATTAGAAATGGCTATTATTACTAGGCGTATATAGATATATGCACTTTTATTTTAAAAACATATATAATATATATATATATATATATATATATATAAAATATACAGTTGTTTTTCTGTATTCAGCTACATTTGACACGTTTTGGTCCACTGTGCACCATTGGGTGTTGCAGAGTATTGATGCACCATTGGGTGTTGCAGACTGGTCCACTATACATCATGAATGTCGTGAACTGATAAGCGATAAGGGGTGTAACATGTGCTAAGAAAACCCTATATAAATGTGACCTGTAATCAACTTAATCAGAGCATCTGATGGGCAGGGCATAGGTGCTCTCATACAGCTGTATTATCACTAATAAATATATGATTTGGATCTCTCGTTTGCAATGTTGTTTAATTCAGGTTTAAAGCTGTGAAATTTACTAAACAAATGTGTGGGCACATTCCAATATTCTTTAGTAAATCAGATCCACAGTTTGCTTGGTTTAAAAGATAAAAGTAATTTTTTAGTGCCCCTATGGTGAGTATTCTCCTAATATGATGTATTACCAAAGTATGGGGCTTCTTTTTTTCAAAGTCTATAGCTAGTTGATCAGTGTAGTCCAGCACATTTGTGCAGTAAATTTTTTTCCATTAAAAAGAAACACACTATTAAGCATCTGTAGACAGTGTGGTCTTTTAATCTTCAACACTGTTGTAGTGTTTCCTGAGTAACATTAGTAGATCACTGATTGATTTTTCCTCCTGCCTGAAACTGCTCTTCAACTGCATTTATTATGGTACATGTTCTGTTACCAGTAATTCCAGCAGTTTTACATGGAAAATGGATATCTGCTTATGTTTCTGTATGCTTCCCCTAGATGCTTTAGATTCCAATCAAAATCTGAATACATTTTGTTAGTTATACTGTCTTCCAAACAAACCGGCCCAGGAATGTGTGTGAATGTTTGTAAAATTGTGGACTATAGACTTTGCATGATTATATGCCATTGATTTACTAAAGGCAAAAAGACTGTTCACTGGAAGGGAGGTTGCACTTTCCATGGGAATTATCCCCAGAGCTTAGTGCATGGTGTGTTGCTGTGCTGACTTCCATCATCCAATTATGTGCAAGCAATTGTTTTCCTTGCATATGATTGGGCATTGTTTGCAAAGTGAAATTTAATCACATTTACTAATTCCCATAGAAAGTGCAGCTTTCCTTGAAAAGTGAACATCTATTTGCATTTGGTAAATCAACCCGTATGTAATTTGTAAAGCACTGCAGGACATATTGATACAATATAAACTTGTCAAATTAAGAAAGGCCAAAAACATT